GTACACAGGGCAGGTCAGTGGCTTCCACCACGACACGTGTTCAGTTTTATTACAGGCTACGCACCATGATAATTCAACAAGTAATCGCACAGATTCATAGCTGAGGAATGCTCTTTTTTCCAGTGTGATGAACTTTCTTGAAAAAAAGATCAACATGCAACATTATGAATAGTTGGATATCGCATACTTGTGAATTCGGCCTTTATTGGCCATTGAAACGGATTCACGTGTGTATACATATAACGTAGGTAACCTTAAAATGCTGCAAAATATAAATTGTGAACATCTTTAAGGCGATTATAGTCTGGAGTAAAAAAAAATCCCCATCATTGCACGAACATGTCACGCAAAAGTCATATCACTTCACATTTGCCCTTTTTCAGAAAATCAATAAACCAGCATAACACAATATAGAGGCTAATAACATCATGCATGAAATATAGCACTGGCTTGTCAGTGATTCTGACAAAAAGGGGTTCTGTGTCTGTGTGTCCAAAGTATCAATTTTAAATTAATCACAAATTATAAACCCTATGGACTGTTTAAATATCCAAAATATTTAATTGCCCATAAAAATATTGCAAAGAGGATGATGTGTTTTTTGACTTCAAGCCGGAAGCATTTTTTAAATATATATTGAGCACTTACTGCAAGAACGTACACATTATACAATTACTGTAATCCCCAGATTATAAGAAAGTCCAGAAAATAAGATGCACTCCTAACTTGTGCTCCCTGTCAAGACAAATATGATCACACACACACCTACTTGATTTTAAGATGACTCTCCAACCTTTGTTTTAAATACATGGTAAAAAAAGTCGTTTCTAATCTGGAGGAGACTGTATATGTATATCCTTCAATAAGGCAACGATAATAATACCGTAATATATTAATATTGAAATCAGTAATATTTTTGTTCATTTGTACTATTAAGTTGGCTGCGTTCCCTTATATTTGGCCTATTTGTCATGCCATTTTGGGTTATTTATATTGTCAAATAAGACAAGAGTTTGAGGCACGTTGCTAATCATTTTAGAAGAAAACATATAAGTTGCAAGGTCATCCGGGATATTACAACAACTATATTCAAAACAGCACTCCGCAACATTCAAAATATAATGCATACAACAACAACTGTCATGTTCACTTTTATTGAAACTCGTTGAGGAATTAAATAAACTACGCGTGAGAAACTCGCACTCAACAGCACTACTCACGGTGAATACATATTAGCCAGATGCTATTTATCTTAATTACACATACGAATACGATTACATGGACTATAACTGAACACCCAGGGTTTTTCACAGCCAATATCATGAATATTAATAGATGGTTGAGGATTAGGTCACGTGACGAAATACAAAGGACTACGGAATTAGTAACAAAAGCCAGATGAAGTGGGGGGTTTGCCACCACGGTGGTGAGATGTTAACTACCTCGCCTGGTATGCAGGAGGTCGTGGGTTTGACCCCAACTGTGACACCTGTATAATTGGAGTTTGCATGTATGTCTCGCTGCGGTTGCATGGGCCTCCGGGTTTTCCCTCCACATTTTATAACACGCGTTTAGAGTATTTGGCCGCTATAAATTCCCACATTTGTGGCCAGGTCGCTTCTGAAAAAAAAAGCTGGAAACTCAGTGAGCCTTACCTGGTAAAATAAAATTTTAAGATAGTTTTAAGAGACTGTGAATTCAAAGACAGGCTGGCAGCAACTGCTGCCATTCAACAACTTACATATAGGTGGCAGTAATGTCTAAGGGTTGGGTGTCATTTTTACAAGATGCCAGATTTTCAATGGGTACATGCTGTCCAGCAACGCAGTTGTATTTAATAAAGCACCATGCTAAACTAAGATTCAGTGAAATGACTTTGATAACTTTATAGCATTTCAAATAAACGCATCTAACGAAGGACTCCGTCGATGGGAAGCTACACGTTTTAATTAAGGTTTTTTAAATCATGATCACAATCCAACATCGTGTACAGTATTTATCCATCCATCAATATTTTATAAGCTATGACAATTGTATGGCATTACCTCCATATTTGTACACGTAAATAAAGATAATCCCTTAGACAGAGAGCACGCTTAAAATGCAAATCAATTACAGCTGCGTTAAAGCACATCGTGCGCTGACTCACATCATACACTCACTCAAGCTACTACTGACTCACTTATCATTCGTTGACTCACACATTATACACTCACTCACGCTGCCGCTGACTCACTCACACATCATACACTGGGAGTGTCGTGCTGCCAGCTATGGCTGCAGGTTTGGTCGTACGTGGTATGCATATCGTTTATTGTTAAATGTTAATTCACAGTTCCTATGATTACTGTTGTTACATTGTTTTTATAGCTTTGTTTTGGTGATTCGAAAACATATGGTTAACCTAAATTGTCTTATGGTTGTTGCTGTTGGCTTGCACCACTTTGTGATTTTTGCACACAGCGTTTTAATCCTTTTTTTTATATTTGCTGGTTTATTCCAGGATGTTTCTGTTGCGCGTCGTCGCTTTGGAATGTTCTGTGTTCATATTTTGTTTGTTGCGGTTGCACTCGACTTAAGAGCCGCATGGCTCACAGGCCTATACCTAATAAATGCAACTTGAAACTTGATCTGATCAGGTGGCACAGCGAGCAGCTCGCAATCGGAAAGGCTACGAGTTCAAATTCTGATCTGGGGTTGATTCAGCCCATCATCTCTCTGGCATCGATAACATGAGTACCACTTTGTGAGAAAGTCAACAGTGGTTGTCCTTTGGAGAGACTCTGCAGAAATCTCCACGCCTGGCTTGAGGCTGTAAACACTGATGAAAAAAACACGAGCTTGGAGTTTAAAATTTTTATTTGTTAAATCAAATATGAGCCGAGATTACTACTTGACCCTCTCGGAGTGAACATTACGTTCGGCACTGCGTAAATGTCCACTTACCACTGGCATAGATGTTCGCTAAGGACAAACAATTGTATTGCAATGGGATAGTTGTAACAGCACGACCATTTTTTTGGGTCTGCTAAAAAAATCTCCCAAAGCACACATGGTCATTTGAAAATTACATGAATCCCCACAAAACTGTTAATTTATGAAAATCTGCAGTCTAACTACAATGAATGTATCTCATTTATTTCAGAAAATATAATGCCCAGTTTCAATTTAAAAAAATCAAGTTTGTAGTAGAGCAAGCTGAAAAGCACATAATTATCACCATTAACAATTCCTAATAGCAGAAAGATATTAAGTAGGCTATTTTATTTCAAGCAGAACATCGGTTTGTTTCGACCACCCATACATTATAACAATATACACACACCTTTATTTCACTTTGATGTATTCCTTGTTGAATCTCAGCCCAGTCAGTTTGTTTCGTCTCGTCATACAATGTCGAATGTCATGGGAAATTTCCCTTCAGCAATGCTCACATTGCATACATTGCGGTGTGTTATTATATTCGTTAAAGTTAATCAAAAATCACTTTTTCACAAGGTACTGTATTTCGATCAAAAGCACAATTATTTTTTAGGAGCATTAGCATGCATAAAATCTACTTTTAAATTCTCAATGCTGTCTGTTATCTTAAGAAACAATATCTACAGCCCTTAGTCAATCTACCGTTCTGGATAAAGGCCTGCCCATGCCGAGTTGGATATGGCGGATTGCTTGACCATACTTTAACACGCTGGCCAGCGCAGGTTGGTGAAGGGATAAACGAAACTATTTTTTTAAATCCTTTATATTAAGTTCACTTGCTTGCTTGCTTGCGCGCTTACGACCGTGCAAATCTTTCGGTCGTTTTTTAACCCACTTCCCGTGATCCAATCGAGCTGACATTTTGCCCACAGACTCGTTGTGCGTGACAATTTATTTTCGTGAAAATTTTTTCCCAAAATTTTACACTTTTTAGGAATTTTTTTTTATATTTAATTACCAATTGCTTAATGGTGGCAGGCAATCATCTGACCCATAGGTGGCAGTCATCTCAAGCCAGAGGACGAGAGGACTCTCGCCGCCACGCATATAAAGGATTTATAGTGAAAAACTTTGTTTTTTACGGGTTATTTTTTTATTTTACCAAGTAAAGGCCCACTAAGCTTTCAAAAGCAGCCTAGTCATAAATGATAGCTCAACGAAGTGGTTTCTCACGTGTAAATGTATCGCAGCCAAATACTCTAAACGCACGTGTTTTTTTTTTTTAATGTGGAGGGGAAAACCTGGAGAAAAATTCACGTGACCACAGGGAGAATATACAAACTTCAAATATACAGGCGTCAGGGTTGGGATCGAACCCACGACCTCCTGTGTACAAAGCGAGGTAGTTAACATCTCGCCACCGGTAAGGTGGGTACCCCAGGACCAGCTCAGAAAGAGCTCGCCACTGATGTAAGTCACGGCCTGATATGTATCCTTGGTATCGTAGTGCAGTTCGCCAACCGCCGTGCAACTACTTGACCATGTTGTTTATTCTACTTGTGAATGATTACCGTTACAGCGCAGTGATGTGATGGGTTTTTTCTTCCTATTATCACGGTCACTTGTTTATGCTTAATGACGGAGATAATCTTGAGACGAACTTCAAAATGTTTGTCCTCTCCAGAAGTCTACAATTTTAACCGTGTTTTGTGGATCGCAAAGGTCATTTGCAACCAATGTAATTCAATGCTGTTACTGGTAGTAACCTCCTGGTTACACCAGCCCACAGGGGATTATTTTGTCCGTCCGTCGTGCAGGGAGGGGCTGGGTGGGGAGGGTGGGAGGTGCTGGGTGGGGAGGGTGGGGCTTGGTGGGGAGGGTGGGGAGGGGCTGAATGGGGAGGGTGGGGAGGGGCTGGGTGAGGAGGGTGGGGCTGGGTGCGGAGGGGCTGAGTGGGGAGGGGCTGAGTGGGGAGGGTGGGGAGGGGCTGGGTGGGGTGAGAGGGGTGGGGCTGGGTGGGGAGGGGCTGGTCACCCCGTGGTGCCCTTATAAAACTCAACGTTTAATCTACTCACGCCGTCTTGTGCCCGCCCTCACAGTCGGCCATATTTGCGGAATACACCACGCCGCCATTGACCCTGGCCATTGACCGAGCAACCCAACGTTCCTACCAGCTCCCTCCGCAGGAATGTGTTTATTTGTTATTCTGTCATGCGTGCCACAGCCCCACCTTTGTGTTCTATGAAATCTCGTTCGCCTGCTGAATGAGCTCAGGCAACCAGCTCTTACAAGCAGTGATGGAATCTCCGCAGCCTTACTTTGCAGCTCCTAAATGAAAGCTGGCGCTGTGACAAATCGCTAATCATGTTTAAATACTCTGCAAACCAGCCCAGTGCTTAGCCTGATAGATCGCAATGGAAGGTAAACTGTGACAAGGCTGTGCGGTAGCGCGTTTGCCGCCTATTGCAGAGGTTTGTGGTTCAAGAAACCTGGACCCCCAGGTTAATACCTGTGACAGCATAAACTGTACAATGTCCACCGTCTGCATCATAGTGGACGTTGAAGATCCCTCTGATGATTTACGAAAGAAAAAAAACGGTCGGCCTCCTGTGCTGGCACCAAGGTGCAAATTAGTCAAAATTGAAATATTACCGACATATTACTGATGTTACAGACTATAGAATCTAATTAGTTTCCTTTCCAGAAATGTATTTCTATTTATTGTATATTTAAAACGTCAAATTGCTTACAACATCCCACCATACTGGCAGACTAATGCCCACTTTCAGGCCAGTGCTGTGTTGACATTCTTCTGCACAGAGACAGCTGCCATCAGGGCCCCCCTCCCCCCCAAGGCTAAATAACTTACGGGTGTTTGCTATTGTCGCTGTTGAAAAAAGAGGCTTTAAAAGTAATATCATGACCAAAAGTGTAGCTAACATCATCAGTTACTCAAACCATTCACAATGTTTCGGAATAACTCCAGATGGACCAGAGAATTCCGAGGGTGAGAGTGTACATCACGATCACAAGCAGGTAGAGGCGGAAGAGGAGGCTGTCCAAGACGTGCCCTACTTGCAGCCACTCCCCAGTCACCTGCTTCTCCTCCTCCTGCTTGTCCAGATGCCTCCTGAGGCCCGAAATCTCCCTGAGGACACGGCGCATGGTGCCGGCCGGAATTTGACCCTCGCCTCCATGCTCGCAGACCTTCTCCTCACAGCGGAAAAAGGGACTTGGGTTCTCTGACAGACACGAGAGGGGCAAACGGGTGGCAGGATGGCACAGTCGTGAAACAGAATCAGAATGTTTATTTTGCCTGGAGACATCTGATGAACAATTAAGGTCTTTTTCGCAGATGTTCAGTCGGACAACTGAGGCACAACTACTTGTGCCTCGGTTAAATTCCTGACTCAGGGGAGCCTTTCTGTGTGGAGTTTGTTTGTATGGACGCCCCACCTGTCCTGCATGGATTTCCTCCAGGTTATCTGGTTTCCTACCACAGCTAGACACACACAATGTAACTGCTATTGTCCAAATATCCCAAAGCTGAAACATTATCTGCAAATGACGCAATTGAGATGAAACATTGCAACATTACCCCCGACTGCGACAACATGACAGGACTCGGTGAGACTTCACTGGGTAAACAAGCATATATAAATACAATAAATATTAAACTGTCTTAATTGGAGTTTGATTCTTGCGCTTGAAGAGGCCATGTTTCATCTACTCCTGGATGAGGGTTTCCACACCGTGCATGTTGTGGCGATAACCTCATCCGTTTGTCCAGAATACATTTTTTATAAAATATATTTTTTTAATTCCCTGACCATACTTCATGTTAGTCAATTCTGATTGGTGAAGGCGGGGCGCATAGACTCTAGTGCATACAAATACAGATTTTTGCTGCTGATTACCATGTAGCCTGCCTCTAACAACCTGCATCCAAGCACTATCGAAGCCCAAACTCTGCTCAACTTCAGTGATCTGAAAAGATTGGGCGCATTCTGGATGATGTGGTCACAGTCTAATAACTTTTAGAACACCATTTTAAGCATTAATGAATTGATCCCAGGCCCATGGTTCACACGAGTGGCGAGGAATGATATCTGAACTGGTCCTTGGCACGTCACAGCATGTCCCCTTCACCCACCTTGCACTGACCAGCATGGTGAAGTATGGTTAAGCAACCCACGGTCATACATCGTGGGGAGGCCCTCAGCCATGAATTTGTTGTAGTTGCTGCTGGTACTGTAATAATGATCACGTGTCGTGTTATTGCCAGGGTGTGTTTGGAAGGCCTCACCATTATCAGCGACATTCTGGGCTCCATCGTTGGGAAAGGTGACACTGCGAGGGTAGGGAATTTGCTTTCTACATAAAATGACGGAACCTCTGGAGAGAAGCCACTTTTTGAGCCAGGGAGGCACGTGTGACTGAACATCCTGTTTGTGGACCAGTCGCACAATGAAGATGGTCTCCATCAAACTGATCACAAGCAAAGCCATGCACACCACAAAATACACCGCTGTCCAGAAAGAGAGAGGGGGGGGGGAGAGACATAGACATTATCATAGATTGAATATCATAACCAGTGAAATATACTTGTACAGTACACGTAAAAATAGTCACCGGTATTAGGTTGGGTTTTGTGTCATGCTGCACAGAAGCAAAATTAAGGTACTTTGTTCACTAATGATCGCATATTTTTGGGCGGTGATATGGCCGAGCAGTAATACGTTTGCTCCTGGTTGCAGAGGTCTCGATTAACATTGTTGGGTTATTAATCGTACAATACGCGCCATCTAAATCACAGTGGACTTTGAGATCCCGTGATGAAGACACATGACCGTGCTCTTTTCTTTTTTTCCAAACTTGAAAACTTACTCGCAATTTACCGTACTTAACTAGGAAAACATCTGTACATATATTGACCCCCGACTGGAAGATGAATGCCCACATGCAGACAGCTGCCATCAGGGTGCCCCCTGGGAAAAGTGCAGGCGAGCTCTCAACACTTTTGTTATTTTCACAATAGAATAATGCCACTTGCCATAGGTTGAGAATTCAACACAACACCTCAAACAATTTAAAACTTTTGGGTGACTTGCCCAATGAGAAATACCAATCAATGTCCGGGCCAGTAATTTTGGGGGGTCTAAAATCTAAAATATTGACTTCTCAGATTAGTCACATTATGAGCGGACTTGACTACATTGATGCTAAGTGCCTTTCTAAAACATCGTGACAATTTACATGAGCCACGCACTCAAGACACAATCGTGAATTTGTGGACACACGTAGCAGCAGCACGCGGTGATGACCCCCCCCCCCCTACAACGACATATAAGGAGCCACCATGCAGCAGAAGCGACGCGTGGCTTCCTACGTGGCTTCACCTTTCCTAAAATTTGCGGAAGGGGTTGCAGACAGCAGCAGCAGCAACACGAAGAAGCAATCTGCCGAGCTTCAGTCATGAAATTGCATCTCGCTGCAAAAGTGTCAAGAATGCGTCAAGGTCATTGGCATGAATGCTACCATGACTTGTCATTGTCTCTCCTAGCTCCAGAAAGCACGCGTGTCAACCCCAAAGGGTTGAAACAATACAAGAGACCCCTGCTTAAAAAATCCGTGGAGAACCAAAAAAACCACCCCTGATCATGAAAAGGGGAACTTCTGCAGCATATTTTTTTCTTTCAAAGCACAGTACAGTCGACGCATCTAAAATTCTTACGCGAGCTGATAAAACAATATTCGAAATTTATATTAAAATGACCACTTAATGCGTGAATACCCACACAGTACTCTGAAATAACAATAACCTTGATTATTCATTAGTTTCCCGAAATGTTTTGTCCCCCTCGTTAGAAAGGCTGTTAGTAAAAGCATAAAAAAAACCTTTCAAGCCGACCGCTTACATAAGACCTCAACAATTGGCGACAGCTGTTGCCCCCTGAGAGACACTGCAATAAAGTGGTGGGCTGATAAGGTTGCAGTGTTTACACGACTGTGAACATCCACGAGACTTGTACACGAATGATAAGTGTTGCACAGTCGGCGATTGGCCGGCTTTAAACACCGAGTTCATGGCTTTGAGTCAGGCCCTCCTCTGTGGTGCGGACTCCATGTGTATTTGGCGTCGTGGTGGGTGCGGTCATGGACGTCAGCCAGGTTCAAGATGGAGGCGTCTGGACACGTGTCATGATGGCACTACCACTCACCCTAACACATGTACGGTGCCTGCCTTAAGCGAATATACGCTTACAAAAGCCACTTGGGGTCTGTATTATTAGGGGCCATCCATTGAGTATGTACGCAAAAATCTGTCAAAACTTGAGCAAGTCCCAGGAGGGAGCGGGGCTGTTCTACTGGATCAACTCTGGGAAGGAACTCGTCTTCTTGGTTCTTTCGGTAAAGTCACGTAGAAGGAAAATAATAAAATAATAAAAATAAAACATAATAAAATAATTCTCACGACGTTTCGGCCACAACGCAATGGAAATCTGGGAAGGAAGCCGATCATCTATGATCCTCGGTCTCGGGTCTCCGCTAGTGGACCAGGCAGCGTGTTGAGCTGTCCTGGTCCGGTAATATAGTATCCCCCGTGTGTTAGCTAAGTTAGGAGCGGTGGTTACCACCCTATGTCGTTATCCTGTTAACGTTAAGAGTTACCTGTTGTGTTAGTTAATAAACGTGTTGCCTCCAGTTCGAGTGTGCGCCACAATCTAACCCACTACTAATACAGTGCTACTGTGACATTACATCAGGTGTTTTATGACGTAGTTGCGTGCAAAAACCACTGCCATATTACAGCTTCCGTCCTAGGACGGGCTAACAAGCTAGTTTCCTATACTCGTTTAACGACCACAACACTTAAGGACCCATGTCGCGGAACAAATTGAACTTCTTTCGCACCATACGGAGCCAACCGTGCTAATCGGAGGTGCTAATCGGTTCTGGGCCTCCCCCTAAGTAGACTCGGCCTTAAGCGAGTACCGCATTGTGTAAACATCAGCACTCCTTGGGACAAATGCTGCCAGGCGTGAAACCAGAAACGCCACCTCCAGCTGGAAGATCTAAGGAGGCTCAATGGGGTGGTGGAGTACTTCAGGCACACGTTGAAGGAATCTGTGTCTACGACGAGAAAAGGGTGGAACGTTCGCCTTACAGTCGCGCTTACGGCCATGCCCAAAGGTGCAGAATTCCACAGCCTGTTTGTATAAATTTCAGGTTTACGAATTGTGGGGGAAATAGCGTAATTTATCAGTTCTGCCCGAGCTGCGTCACAGCCCTTCGCACTTTGGTTCATTCCACCACGCAGACTGAGGCACGGTGGAATGTGCTATCTCAGTAGAGCAAAGGTCCTGGTTGAAACTGCAACCTGTTTTTTGTTGTTGTACAATAAACAAACGGAGGATTATTCTGTCACAAACTGAGTGATGGAGGCCTGCAAACACTACGTGAACTGGGTGCCAAATGGTGCCTAAAACAACACACAAGCAGGGTGGCTAATGGCGTGATGTAAGCGGGGAGAGGAACATTCCAAATGTAAAAAGCGTGACAACAGCCGTAACCACCTGTTGTAATGAGGAGAGTCGATACATGTTGGACACATTCAGAATAAAGAGTCTCATTGGGGGCAAAGCCACCGTTGATCGTCTAGGTCAGGGGTCGGCTCCCAGACCCGCATGCGGCTCTTTAAGCACTGCAGTGCGGCTCTTAAAAAACTGGCTCTTATTTTGGTTGCCGATCCCTGACCATTGAAGTCCAGTTCACCATGGAAGTCCAGTTCACCATGGAAGTCCAGTTCACAATGGAAATCCGGTTCACCATGGAAGTCCAGTTTACCATGGAAGTCCAGTTCACCATGGAAGTCCAGTTCACCATGGGAGTCCAGTTCACCATGGAAATCCGGTTCACCATGGAAGTCCAGTTCACCATGGAAGTCCAGTTCACCATGGAAGTCCATATCAACATGGCAGTCCAGTTCACCATGGAAGTTCGGTTCAACATGGTAGTTCGGTTCACCATGGAAGTCCAGTTCACCATGGAAGTCCAGTTCACCATGGAAGTCCAGCTCACCATGGAAGTCCAGTTCAACATGGCAGTCCGGTCACCATGGAAGTCCAGTTCACCATGGAAGTCCAGTTCACCATGGAAGTCCAGTTCAACATGGAAGTCCAGTTCAACATGGCAGTCCGGTTCACCATGGAAGTCCGGTTTACCATGGAAGTCCGGTTTATTATCTGCAGGGGTCGGTAATCCGTGGCTCCGGAGCCGCATGGGGCTCTTGAAGGACGACTTTGCGACGTTTTTTTACGAAGGACCACTGTCTCGCATTCACCACGTGCAACATTGTATACTTTATTTAACCGAATTCGAAAAAAATGTCTCCCCTTGTTGTTTTGGTTGCAGACCCCTGCTCTAGGCAAACACCAAAAGTGATGACACGTCGATAATAATACGCACGCAGGTACCTATGAGTGGTGTTCCAATCGGAGTGGCCGGCAGCGTGTCTTGGACTACGATAAGAAACACCGAGTAGCCCAGAAGCAGCGTAATCTTAAAGGAGACCCTCTCTCCACTGTCTGGGGGCAGGTAGAAGCCAGCGATGTCCATCACCATCAGGAAAGCACTCGGCATGATCAGGTTGACCACATAAAACAGAGGCCGTCTGCGTATGACCACCTGCAACAGTACAAACAACATTGGGGGATAATAAAGAGGGTTTTGTTGTTGTCAATATCGACAAAGAAATTAGAGTTACAAAAGCAATATTAAATAGATATTATTTGGGTCTTTCGGTAAAGTCACGTAGATAGGTTCAAAGAAAATAACAAAAAACTACGACGTTTCAATCGCAACACAAGCGGTCGTCATCAGGAAGATGACGACCGTAGTTTTTCGTTATTCTTGTTATTTTCTTTGAACCTACGTGACTTTACCGAAAAACCCAAAGAATATGAATTCCTGCAGTCACGAAAGCTTTAAGTCAAGATTAAATAGCTAGGTGATATTTTTTTTATTTAAGTATGGACTGGTACTGCTGAAGCTAAGATGAGTAAGATGGAAAGGCACGGCAATTGCTCACTTAGGGCCTCCACTAGAGGACCCTGTAGAGACGGTAGTTGTCCTTCTTTCCCACAATGCCCGGAAGTCTTGGAAGAGGCGTGAAACACCCACACTTTACTCCACCACACTCGACCTTGCCGGGCTACGAACTGTGGTGCACACATTTCTACTGACGGGTGGACAGAGGCGGTGGAGGTGGGGCAGGGACGAGGTAGTTTAGTAAACTTGCGCCAAATCGAACACGGTGACCCTCTGGATGGCATATTCAGTGTGTTGACCATTGCACCACCACAGGATCCCCTCCCCCCCATCCAAATGATGTTCATTTTCTAGGAACAAAACACAAGGGGAAGACTCACGTAAATCTTCAACTCGGAGAAGCGGTTTTCACCATAGAGAGGGTGGAGTAACTCATTGGGAACAGATATCAGCTCCCATTCTCCAAAGTTTAAAAAGATGGACTTGTCTTCTTTAATTTCCTCAGGGGTCCTCCACAGGGTTAAGTTAATGTCATTGGCTAGGTGAAAACAAAGTAGCAGTTGAAATGAAATCATACAAATCATCCACAGCTCCGATTAGCGCGATTGGTTATGCACGGCGCGAAAAATAAGTTCAGCGTGGACACAAACAAATATATCACTGGTCAACACACTTTTTCTGGCATAAGGTATTCCAACGGTTTTATAACACTGGTCAACACACTTTTTCTGGCATAAGGTATTCCAACGGTTTTATAACACTGGTCAACACACTTTTTCTGGCATAAGGTATTCCAACGGTTTTATAACACTGGTCAACACACTTTTTCTGGCATAAGGTATTCCAACGGTTTTAAGGTAATTTTGGGGTGCTGATTCCAAATCTGGCATCAGTTTTTGTCTATCACATCAGGTTTTTGAGATATCAAATATTGCATTTTCAATAAAAACTGCAGAAGAAAAATATTAAATAAATGTGGATATCTGCATAGAATTATATTATAAACACACTATCCTTAACATACAGCACCATATTTTAACACTAAAGCAGTCACTGACTCGCAACAACTTGCAATCATAAGTGACAGAGTTAATTTCGGGTAAAATCAATGAAAATGGGGTATGCCGATAGCATAAAAATGAGATGTGATAGAGCAAATCTAAGATCAGATTTGGAATCAGCACCCTGAAATTAGTCTAAAACAGCTGCAAAAGTCCAGGCCAGAAGTTTTGTTTGTTTTTTTGTTGACCAGTGTAATGTTAAGTGTTGAATTCAAAGTGGTCGTGCATAGTGTGCTAAAAAAAAACATGTTCTTCTCAAAAAGTCTAAGTGATTTGAGAACAGTTTACAACCGTTGTTGACTTACCCACAAAGTGGTACTTGTTTTATCAACCACGGAGGCATGATGAGCAGCCAAATACACTCATCAACTGATTCACTGATCGAATCTCAGTGCAGTTTGCTCATTTTTACGAGAAAAAATGTCTAATAACACCCTGTAATTTGTTTCTGCTCGATACACACTGCAAAATCAATGAGATAAATGAATGAAATCATGTTGAGTTGCGCCGGTGGAGCGGCTTGTTAACAAATCTGCGAGTCAGTGGGTGCACGGAACTTTTTTCAAACCGGCGAGCAGCGCTTACACGTGTGAAGCCAGCTGGTAAAGGTCAGAGTGCAGTTCTGCACATCAAAAGGGAAGCTGTAGATATCCAGGCTGCACGCGGACACCACCTGCAGTGGCTTGTAATTCATTACCGTGCCATTGTAACTTAGATAGACATATCCGATATCAGGTGACTTTCCCACATCCACGCTGTATTGAAAAATCACACACACACAGACAACATTAAAAACGGTCACGGCATACGGAAACACGCACATTTTATAGCCGCTTTAATGTTACAGGTTAGACAGCCGGTTGAGCATATATTTCATTGAGATTTTAGCACGCACTGCTGCGGGCATCCTTGGGAATAGAGAATGGAATGCAAACGGCTCAATGTCTAGTTTAGTGTTATGTAGCGTTGTTGTTTGAGCAATTTTTTTGGAAACATAGACACGGCTAGAAGGCAGGGAGCTGGTGCTAACCATTGCCCAGGCTCTGCAGTCCTATATATATTAAGATTTTTCAGCCATTAACACTTAGCCCAACCCGAAAAAACACACGGTTTACATTTGAACAAAGTACCAGTGAAAGTTACTACAGTCGACGGGAGGACGGCCGTGGATAATTCAAAATCGAGAAAAATCCAAAAATATAAATTATCCGCGGATCTCTTTGCCAAAAACGTGTGCCCAGTGATAACACTTTCCCGCTCCCACACAGAAGACTCGGCCTCTTAAGTGGAAAGCAGAGCCACGCCAATAAAAATCAAACTCCGCCCACTGTTGTAAAGATATGCAACTACTGTACTGTAGAGGCGATCACATGGATTTCGGATGAACTGGAGCAACATATTTGTTCAGTTTAAGCACGTGACTTGTAATACACATTTCCAATAATCACAATGCGGAACTGTTTTTAGATTATTCATTTGGGTTTCAGGGAAATTGTATGAGTTGTCAATAGATGTCAAAATCTCAGATGCGTGATTAATCCACAAATCGCATAAACAGCACGTGGATAATCGAGAGTCTACTGTGCACAATTTTATTAAAACATTTTATTGGAATGCGCGAAATGAAATCAGTGCTCTTAGCATGTACCACGATTTCACCATGTGGAATGTGTGTACACAATTCTACTTACAACTCGCTTATCATAATATCAGGAACCCAGATGTTGTTCGTGGGAATTGATATTTGCTCAATGCCGTCATACTGGACAGGGTCCCATTGTAGGAACTCATCAGTCCACCGCTGCAATGGATAACAAATATAGGAGTCAAACAATAGATCGAGGACGGGACGCCATCGTGGACAAAGCCGTTGATGCCACCGCACCTCGCTACCAACTCGGTTTTACTCTGCCAGATCCGGCAGCTGCTGCTGCTGTACAGCAGACACGTGGTGACCTCCAAGATCTGCCCTCACAGCATCACAGCATCCCACCATCTGCTCTTAAGTTTTCCCATGCAAATGCCTGGTAATAGTGATCATTGTTAAACAATACCACAGGTGAATTCATAGACAAAAACCCCCCGTATAGCCTGAAAATAAATAAATTCGAGATGACTTCAATATATTTTCACTGGTTAGAAATAAATATAGAAAAATCTATCAATAATATAATTTAAGTAAATAAATGACCCTTTTATATTTTCAAAGAATATACTTTCTTATTCTAGTGGTTTATTTATCATTTTTGCCAGTCCAGTGGAATCACAAAAATACAAAGACCCCCCCCCCCCCCGTATAACCTTAACAGACTATTGGGACAAGTGCTGTTAGCGATCACATATGAAGGCCGCAACGGCACGCAAGGGGATCTGTCATAAACTGTTGTGAATTATATCACAGGGTCATTCATGTTATTTTTTCAGAGGATAGCACTCTTAATACCATACACCATTTCCAGGAATCGGCACAAATCTGAACTGTAACTCAAATGCCGTACAAGTTTACGTCTATAGTTTTGTATTCAAGTTTAAATATATATATCAGATTTCAGGATCTTCATATATTCATTATTATTTTACGAGGACCAAATCTGCTGCTATGGCATGGATTGGAACCATGGACTCTGGCAAAGAACATGGATAATTTTTTTACAAACATGCAACTAAGCATAGACAGATGCATGCTGGGAGTTACATTCAGAGGAACAGAGAGGGGAAACCCGTGAACAAATAAAAAGTTAAAGACGGAATCTTGACTGTCAAGAAATGTAGACTTGGTTAGAAATGTAGACTTGGTTAGGGGCCCCCTCCCTGTTTTCCTCCTGATGACGGTCGCTTGTGTTGCGATCGAAACGTCGTCGTTTTTTTGTTTATTATTTAATTATTTTTTCCCTATCTACGTGACTTTACCGAAAGATCCAAATAATTTGGTTAGGACACTTCGCGAGTACAGATGAGGACCAGTGGATGAGACTGGTGACGGAATGGCAACTGAAGGACGGAACACACCCAACAGATGTCTACTCACGAGGATGAAGCGACAGAATCAGCTGATGCGACAGAATCAGCTGATGCATGACAGTAAGATGGATTGTGAAATGCGGAACCATCAGCGGTTGCAACGATTTTGGGAGGTATTCACCATGGGCTAGATCACGGTTGATGATTATGAATACCAAATAAAGAAAATACCACTTAATAGCTGAATGTACCTGTCGATACCAGATATACGCTGTAAGCACTTGGTTTTTCTCATCCTGATGGGAAAAAAACACAACCGTCACTTTGGCAAGTATTATTAATAATATAAACAGACCACACGCTGTACTCGCAGCAAGATTTAGTATGAAAAAATACCGAGCTGCTGACACAAAGAAAATTGCAGCTCCTCTGTAGAAATGCAATGCTTTAATTGCGTACACAAAATGTTGCGCATTATTATGCTGGGTGGGTTGACACTTGTGGTGCCACCCTGGCATATGCTGCCAATGCTCTTAATTAACTGCGAACACGGGCACGAATATTTTAAGCACTTGTGTGTTTGCAGAAGCATCGGGCATTACGATGATTAGTGTGCAATGCTGTGCCACAGTGTTTGTAGAGTATTTTCCGCACTAGAATGTGTGTGCACATGAGCACGTTTTTATCCTGCGACGCGCTTGCAACAGCACCACGTTGCGTGCAAGTTTGACACCATTTGCATTGAAGCGGCATCTGTGTCAGAGGTCGCAAACGGGTTTTGATTCCTTACCTGTACCCGTACCCGGCCGCACCAGGGTCGCAAACGGGTACCCGTACCCGGCCGTACCCGTACCCTACCCGATACCCGGCCGGGTACGGGTAGAGTACGGGTATCGGGTACCTGATTGCGACCTCTGGGATGAAGCCATGTTGCAGGCGCGGCTGGGTTGATTCTAGGAACTTGAATTGTGAGAAGAGACAAGACGTTGGGAAATGAGTGACAAACAGTTACTCACCAGTGACTCACGGCCTACCCGTACCCGGCCGCACCAGGGTCGCAAACGGGTACGGGTAGCCGGGTATCGGATAGGGTACGGGTATCGGGTACCCGGTTGCGACCTCTGATCTGTGTTCAAACACGACATTTGTTCTGTTTGCACTGAAGAGGTCTGCCGCTACTTACCACATTGAGTATCGCGTACAGCATCACATCGATCGCAACAATGATGGGCTGTCGCCAGTTTTTAACCGGCCTCACGCCTTTGTCGTATCCAGAGGATAAGCGTGATGACAAGTTCCTCAGCGGCGTCTTTTTGTGCGCGTTCGTCGAGTGCGCTGCAAAACAAGACGCGTTTCGGACGAGGTTACTGAGAACACGTTGCGCTGCGCGCTCTTTTACCACCAAGAGGTGGAATTTTAAATTACACAATCTTAATTTGGAGCTTTCGTGACTGCAGGAATTACTCTTTGGTTCTTTCGGTAAAGTCACGTATAATGATAAAATAATAAATTAAATACTAGCATACGACGTTTCGATTGCAACACAAGCAATCATCATCAGGTATCATTTATACCTGATGATGATTGCTTGTGTTGCAATCGAAACGTCGTATGCAATTATTTAATTTATTATTTTATCTTTAAATTACACGTCTTGTGCTTTGCGTCACCCGACTCGGCATGTTCAAAAAATTATTCATAGCACTGCATTGTAATTAACGTATACTTACGACACATCACGTTATGACGCACGTGCACACCACCGTGAACATGAAGCCAAAACGGTTATGAAAAGCAGCGGATATGGGAAGATGGGGAACGGACTCGCTGCCCCAAACCGTACAAGATCCCAACGAAGGGGGAAATGGTAACTTTTTTGTTTTAAGTAAGAGGGAAGGGATAACCAAAACACACCGGACATAAAGAAAATAAAAACACAAGAGCCGGACTTAGCGAGAATTTTTATGTTTACACCCCTCCGAGTCCGGCTCCCGTCTAACCTGCAGTAGTTATACTCTTTATCCTCCCTCGCTCACTGTCTCCCGAACTTCCATCCTGCTAACTTATTTGTAGATATATATTTAAAGAAAAATTTATTCCACCAAAAATGGAAACCCTCCTAAATGAGTAAACTTTAAACACACACCTCTTAAATATAAAGCAAAAAACAGCCAGGTGGCTCTGTGCTAGAGTGAGCAGCTCATATTTAGACGATTGTGCCTTCAGTTCAGTTTATTTTGGAGTACCCCGTGAGCCCAGAAGCTCTGAAATCCTAGTTGGTGATTGACTCAGCCCATAACTCCGCGGTTGATAAATGATGTGCAGTACTACATTGTGGGGAAATCAACAGGAGTTGTCAAATGAAAAGACTCGCCAGGAAAATTACACCAGTTAAATTTTCATTTAAACAATAACTCTATTTGACTGTAATTTCAATTAATTATAGTCAACATTTATATAGGCAAAGTCGAGTATAGAGTAGGTAATTTTAGGCATATAACATCAGCGGTTAAGTAATTAAGTTTTTAAACATTCACCTTACCTCCGTGCTTTAAAAACATCAGTCCACTCAAGACCAGCACCGACAATGTCAACAACCTATGTGTCCTCATTTTGGTGAAATAAATCTTTACTGAAGATCATATAGCAACTTTAAAGTAAACAAATGGTGATTGCAATTTTTTTAAAAATCAAAACACTATTTTAGGTAAAAAAAAAATTAACGTTGTGGTACACAATGGATAACTTTGCATGGCATATATGAAGGTTCATGGACTCCTCTGTTTTTTGGGACATCTAAGCAGCTTATATCTGTGGTGTAATCCGAGTCCAATATTGACTTCTTCTCAAATAACACAATTAAAAGGAACTCGGGGCCTCAGGCTTTGTTTACTGCAGTTCTAAATTAAGCAGGAGAAGAAATAAGAAGGAATTAACATAATGTCATCATCACAATATTAAGTGGAGCGACATAAATGAACGTGGCATTAATAAATAAATGCTGGTGAGTGCAGACGTTAGCGCACTGTGTTGTGCCATTAACCCAACATTCTGAGTTTGACTCCCTGCCATGCCAAATAGTGTGATATTTGAACCTGAACCACTAGTAGGCTTTACCAATCCGCACTGACCGGCGTGGTGAAGTATGACCATTCCATCCAATGAACAGCGAAGCATTCGCAAGGCGTTCATCCAGCAGAGCATTTAGGAATGGACGTAAATGACCACGATCTGTATTTACATTTTAAAATACACGTGTTTACTGAGCCCCAAGAACAGTACTTTATGCAGCATGATTGTTAATTTTATTTTAATGTCGTGATTTAAATTTCAAGGCCATTTTAAAGTGTTAATTAGAAAATAGTATGTTCACACTGATGTCAGAAATGTATATTGTGCAGTGAGAAAAAATAATACAATGTGTGTATGCATTTACTTTAACATTGGAATAAGAATAAACAAGTATCGTTTCAAATATGAAATACCACCATTGATGTATTGGAAAATACGTGTTATTAATCGTTTAACCTGAGGGCTAAAGGCAGTTCAAGTGTACCATTATAGCCTTCATGTGTACATGACCTGGTACTCGTCAAATCGAGCCAAATCTAATTACTACATTTCCTTTTTGAGGATGCTTGCATAAAACTAAAAGTCTCAAAAAAGGAACTTTGGTAATGCATGACTGTGCAAATCTAATTAAATTTAATGAGATTATTTAGAAATGCGAGCACTCAAACAGTCACTTACACCTAATGAGGATGGAAGGAAAATTACGTTGTTCAAAGCACATCAATAATGGACAGGCATATATTCGGAAACTTTTGATCAATATTGGCAATATATTGCAATGAGCTCATAGACTTGCTCAATGTTAACACTACAGGGGCAGTAATATATCCATTCAAACTATATTTTTTATATTCTTAGGTTTTTTCGGTAAAGTCACGTAGGTAAAACATTAAAATTAATAAAAGTAAAATAAAATAAAAATCACGACGTTTCGGAGGCAAAACAAGCTTCCGTCTTCAGGTGGAACCGTCGGCTGTCGTGGCTGTGACGGTTCACACCTGAAGACGGAAGCTTGTGTTGCCTCCGAAACGTCGTGATTTTTATTTTTTATTTTATTTTACTTTTATTAATTTTAATGTTTTACCTACGTGACTTTACCGAAAAAACCTAAGAATATGAATCCTTGCAGTCACGAAAGCTTCAAATCTAGAAATATATTTTTTATATTACCAGGTAGGGTCCACTGAGCTATATAGATCTTTTTCAGAAGTGACGACTTGGCCACCAATGATAGCTCAGCGAAGTGGCTTATCAAGTGGAGATTTATAGCAGCCAGATACTCTAAACGCATGATTCTGACGTCTTGTCTCTTCTCACAGGGAAAAACCGGAGAACCCGGAGAAAAGTCCACGCGGCCGTGGGGAGAACATGCAGACTCCATATATATCGGACGTCAGGGTCGGGATCGAACCTACGACCTCCTGCATACCAGAGGATGGTAAATCACCAATGGACATTAACAATACGCACAAACTAAAATGCAAGCCGATAAATTGTCCACTAGCACACGTGGCATAGTACACATCATACAGCAACTTGGAAGTGGGCTTGTTCGATGATTGTGGAGATGGCGCTGAGGTAGAGTCTGATGAAATGGGCCTTGAGGCACAGGCGTGCTTTGGTAACCTCAAATCCGTGCTTACAAAATCGAAAACGCGTGCCTTCTTTCCATCTAAAAACACCATATTTGCAGTATTCTCCTGTCGCACACTTCGGAGAATTTGGTCGCGAGAGAAAAAAGTGGTCCGGTATTCATACCTACTTCCGCCACCAAATAATGTTTGTGACTGGTAAACCCTGTAGTACAGTAATGTTTTCAAGAAAAATACGTATTCTTTCATTCTTATTTTCCTGATCGTTTTGAGTCTATGGGCATTCCAGTATCTTCCCACGTGAAAAAATACAGCAACTATATGACCAAACATTTGAAGACGCCTGGACAAGCATCTTGATAGACAGTGAGGCTTCAGTCACATTTTTGTTGTTGTTAAATTATTACATTACATTTCATGAGAGTATTAAAAAAGGCTTCTTTGTATCATTTAATTTGGCCAAAACATTAAATGACTTAAAATCCAAAAATGCACTTATACGTTGGCCCAGATCAATTCTTCCTCATTATGAAATCATTCGAAAATGTGTTATTCCCTCAAACGTAGTACATTAAATGACTCACTTTGCACTCAATAATCACCGAGTCAATAACCTAAAATTAGATGCAACTGAATACCTCCCTACTCTTCATTTTTTATAAAGTTTTGTGACCTCATATTACAGTGGTTCAGCAAGGTGAATAAACAATACAATAAACTAGTATACCATAGTCTGTATGTTATGTACTCTTAAACTGGTTAGTACTACTATTAATGCAAGTGGATAAAAAAAAAACACAATTAAGATTTTACATATACACGTAACAGCAATTGAAAACACGTGTGCCCCCACATGTCCATTTTTCTGTGAACATTCTGCCAAATTGTCATTTAGCAAGGATATTTATACTATGGGAACCTCATTTGCCAGTAAAAATATGATAATTGTTTTTTTACCCTTCTATCTGGCAACAAAACTGACACCTTTTTACAAGGAGTCATGTTTGCATAGATCGCAATACCTGCAGTCATAAATACAAACAAAAGACATCACTCTGATAATGTGCACTGTCCTTGAAATTGATTGGTCCACACCCGAGACAGCTTTCCTTAGAGCTTTGTAAAAAAGGTGTCAGTTTTGTTGCCAGATAGAAGGGTAAAAAAAACAATTAGCAAGGATATTTATTTCACAATTCCTCTAGCAACCCTTCCTTCACCAAACTCCGATTAGAGTAACAAACGTTCCAGAAACTTGACCAACAATAATGGACGAGTATAGAATTGAAGCCTATGACCAAATCACCCGGAATTAGACCTCAGAAGCATTTTTTTAAAGACTACAATTTTTTATTTTACCAGGTAAGGCCCGCTGAGCTACATAACTCTTTTTGAGAAGCGACCTGGCCACAAATGATAGCTCAACGAAGTGGCTTATCGTCACGCGTAAATGTACCGCAGCCAAATACTCTAAACGCGTGTTTCTAAATGCGGAGGGATAAAAACCGGGGGACCCGGATAAAAAAAATCCACGGGGAGAGAGACATGCAAACTCCTAACATACAGCAGGCTTCAGGATAAAACCTCCAGACCTCCTGCGTACCCGGCGAGGAAAGTAACATCACGCCACCGTATGTATTGTATTCTATTGCACACCTACTACACTTACATAGAGGCGGGTGCGGTAGGCATCCTGGCCAGCAGTTAGCACTGCAGCAAAATGCGTTGTTGTTGTTCTGTAATCCCCTCCCCCCTACCCCTTGCCCACCACCCCGCAACTTGACCGATCCTCACTGACCGGCGTGGTGAAGTATGATTATAACAAACAAAAAAACCCTCACCGCCTGCATCACATGGGCGGCTATCATCTTGCAGTGGATTTACAGAACGGGCCGGACATGTACGTACACATATATAAAGGATATGGTCAACTCTAGATTTGATTTATTATTTTATTTCTATTATTATTTCTATAATAATAATTATTTATTTTTATTTTTACCTACGTGACTTTACCAAAAAAAACCTAAGAGTATGATATGGTGAACCTTTAGGAAATATGGGGCTGTGGGTGGACTTGTAAACAAGCAGTGGGCGTGTAGACAAACTGATCTTAAGTTGAGTACGTTAGACTTGGTAAAAACACGGTAGCTCTGGCTTGTGTCGCGACTTGTGTAGACTTGCCTACAGCTACGCACAAAAATGTGGGAAAAAATAAATTGGGGATAAAATCTAAACATAAAATTGAAGTTGATAGAACCAAATTAATGAAACGAATGGCACGCAAATGTAACTAATTGCCACGCTCAAGTAATAGAATGACATAAATAAAAAGTATAACCCGTAAACACAAAGTTTTTCACTATAAATCCTTTATATGCGTGGCGGCTAGAGTCCTCTCGTCCTCTGGTTTGAGATAGCTGCCACCTATGGGTCAGATGATTGCATGGCAGCATTAAGCAATTGGTAATTAAATATAATATTTTTGTCCTAAAAAGTGTAAAATTTTGGAAAAAAAATTTCACGAACATTAATTGTCACGGACAACGAGTCTGTGTGGAAAATGTCAGCTCGATTGGATCACGGGAAGTGGGTTAAAAAACGACCGAAAGATTTGCACGGTCGTAAGCGCGCAAGCAAGCAAGTGAACTTAATATAAATGATTTAAAAATAGACGTTCACGTCGGCTCAATCTAAGTAATTTTATATGACAAGACAGGATACGTACCAAACGACAGATGGATTTTTGTGAGCAATGAGGACCGATTATCTGATTACTATTGAATATTCAATCCATACCTACCTCCTGCAAGTGCTTTTAAATACTATTAGACAGAGGAAGTTGCAACTAAAGTGTAACTTTGCTGAGAAGACATTACATCAAGAGTGACTGAAAACGAATTATTCACTTTAAAGAGGTAAAAAAAAAACCCATACATTGTATTGATTTATCAAATTTGGAAATGATTGCCAAATGTTTCACTGATGTAGGTTCAGTATGCTGCAGAATTATCTTGAATCCTTATTTTGGGCATTACAATTACGCCGTAGTACATGAAATATAAAAACATATTTTG